AACCCAATTCTTACACTAAAAACTGAAGTCCTCTATGCAATTGTTCATGCAGTTTTCATTCTTCTCCCTGGTCATTTTATCTCTTCTTCCTCCTCTGGTCTTGTAAACAGGGGAGTATCCTTCATACTCATTTCTTTTTCCTCTCGTTCTAGGATCTAATCATAATCTTCTTCCATATTTCTACTCTCTGCTTCCATTTTCCTGGATTTTTATACTTTTGTTATATTTCATTTTATTTATTCGGAACTCCATATCTTCCGGAATGCGGCCCAAGGCATTTCTGGAGCGTTAGAACGTAACATGGTAAGACGGGAGAAGCGAATTACGTAACATAGAAGTAGAGTCATTATTCTTAGTGCCATTAAGAGACGGGACATCGGGAGAATGTGATGGAGTCGTCTAGTGATGGCTATTGAGGCCCTATTTTGCAGTTTGGAGAGCAACTTGGGGGTCCAACCATGATCCATTAGAGATCATGATTGGATAACTCTTGGCACTATTAGAGATCATCTTTCTTTCAGGTTGTGCATATGTAGTAATGACTTCCCTTTCCTATTCATGGTCTCTGTATGCATGCACTTTTTAAGGTGGACTTTGGCCTTCCAAGGATTTAAAAGCACACCAACCATTGGCCTCTTGTGCAAAAGCAAGGTGCACTAGAGGTTTACGGCCCTGAAGCGCCCGAGGAACACTTATTGGGCCAGGCGCATGCTTTTTCATGAACACAAATCAATCACTTTTTACGCTGTGTCCTATTTTTTGGTTGGTCGTTTTTTACCTTTTTAGTTATGGACTTTGGCCTAGTTTCTCAAAAATGCCATACCAATATGTAAGAACCAATCAATCCATCCCAATATTGCTCAAAATTTATGCATAGAATTCATTTCTCCACAACGTAGAAAGCGCAAGAGGCAAGTCAGGCAACACCAAACACCATCAGACAACAATACTTTACAAAAGATTGAAGGTTTGAAGATAATTTTTGTTTCGCTTCCATAACTTCATTTCTTCTTTCTTCCATCCTATTCTCTGTTCTTTTGTTCTGCTGCGGTCCGGTATAGATGGTGTAGGTGCAAATTTATAACTTAAGCTATATGCATCACCAAATATCACATAATGTTATGTTTATTTAATTGTTGGTGCACATGGATTAATTTTAAATTGAATATCATGTTTTTTTGTAATCGAGAATTATATACTCTTCAATATTGTGCTCCTTCCATGAGTCAGGTGAAAGATGTTTTCTGCATCTTGGGCCTAAGATGATGTAGGCCTTCGCACCTTGACCTTGAGTGCATCTTATGACTTTGACTATCTTGTTAAGAATGCAAGCCTTTACTCATCATCATCATCATCATCATCATCATCATCATCATTATTACCCTAGGGCCGAAAAGGCTCCCACCTAAAGTGGGGTAAGGGCGGGTCAGATGTACGCAGCCCCCTGTACTAAAGCAGGGAGAGACTGTTTCCCTTTACTGTTAATTCTAAAAGAGCAGCTGAAACACAGACAAATAGTGCGGAGGTTTTTAACAGAGCTTCTTCCTTGGCATTACAATGGACTCCAAACTCGAGGATCCTCTTCTATCTTTTACACTAATGATTGCATCGTTTTTAAGAGATCATATTGAGCATCGGCCAGTTCAAAATTACCCGTGATGAGGGCTCAGATAGTAAATGATATGTGCTCAGATATTGAACCACATCACAGATTCCAGGAAGAAGAAAGCCTGAATGTTATTGGGATTTTATGGATCAAGAAGGTGGTGCACAGAAGAGATGGAATTCTACAATGAAGTAATAGGGAATATATATGAAAAATACTGATATTTAGGAGATTGATTTAGTTTAAATATGGGGAAATGTTGTCAATGATCTCTCTCAACTCTTTGTTAACTAATTGGGATAACTTTTCTTCCTTCTCTTATTCAACCCAACTTACATATTAGATAAAAAAGAGCCGTACGGTAAACTATATCCTACAACCGGCTGTACCTTGAGCATGGTACAGCCGGGTATTTTTGTAATATATTTGAAGTCCAAGCCTATTATTTACGTAGCATGCTCCCACTATGTAACATTTTCTTCTTCGTACGTTAGTCTTTTTTTCTGCCGTCAGCTCCCTGCACATATTGATTGCTTTACACTCTTTTCTTTTCTCTTCATTTCTTTTCTTTTTTCGTTGCTTTGACTTTTTGTTTTGCTTCTTTCTTTTTGTTTATTTTACTTGTTGCTTTTCGTTTCTTTATTTTTTCTTTAACAATTCTTTACTTTATTTTTTATTCAATTATTATGATTATATAAAATACTCCCTCCATCCCACTGGACTTTGCCATCTTTCCTTTTTTGGTTGTCCCAAAAAACTTTGCCACTTTCCCATTAAAGTAACTATTTTGTGGTTCTACTCATTTCTCTCTCCTCTGCACAAACTTGAACCACACAATTTTTACTATTCTTATTTCCCACCTAACTTAAGGAGTGCATTGGGATGGAGGTAATATTATTTATTGTTTGAGTTTGTTTTTTTTTTCTTTTTCCAATCAACCTTCTAACTTAAATTTTTTAATTTGTGATTTATAAAATATTTTAGGTAATATGTTTTTTTCTATTTTTAATTTTAAGATGAATATCTATTGGTTTATTAAATATTGTGTGTTAACTACTAACATGAGTTTTGTTACTTTTGTGTTATACTAAAATGAGTATAACTTAAAATAAATGTGCATACATAATTGTTAATAACGAATCTACTAGATGTACAAATTATAGAAAGGAGTTTATGTTATATTCGAATGAGTATAACGACTAAAAAATGAGCATACACAATTGAATATTTGAACACATTACAGAATTCAAATGAGTTTTTGAATTTTTCGATGCTCATTTTGTAAATTACGTATGCTTATCTGGTATTGGTCTTATGCTCATTTTAAAATGTTATATCAATACATATTTTCAAAAGTACCATATTTACATTAGATTCACGTGGAAAATGATTATAGATACGGGAGCACAAACCATGATACTCATTTGCATTTTTCTAATACTCAATAGAGGATGTTTGATGCTGAATGAAAATGTCTCGATGCTCAATTAGAAAAACTTATATTTTGTAAGTTACGTGTGCTCAATAGGTACTCCTGCTATGCTCATTTTTAAAATGTCATATCAATGCATATTTCAAAAGTATAATATTACATTTAGATTCGCATATTGAAGTTATAGGAGTTAATTATAGATATAATTTGATAAGTTTTTATAACAGAAAAAATAAGAAAAGAATGTGAATTAGAAGATACTACCTCCGTCCCATTAGAAGGTTCCCGTCCACTATTCACATAGTCAACTTAAATCATTTTTAATCTTTTACTTTATAAATCAAATTTTTATCAAATTTACATTTTTTTTATCAGGCTTTGTAGCGGTTTTAATGTAGTTTCTGAATATGTTAATTTTATTTACTAAAAATAATCAGAGTGTGAACAGGGATTAAGTTGCTTTATCATCGGTCAAGCATCGTAAACCGTCAACGGGAACCTTCTAGCGGGACAGAGGGAGTATGAAACAGAGATAACGATGCTCATTGTTAGGCTTCTAATGCTCAACAAAACATGTCCAATACTCACTAAAAGTGCATCAATGCTCATTTAGCAGAAGACGCGAATTTCATTAAAATTACCAAAATGCCACCGGCTGTACGGCGGGCACCGTACAGCCGCCTGTACGGTATAGGCTTCGCCACATAACCCATCAAACAAATAAGCAACAAACTACATACAATACTAATTAACCCACTACGCCAAACCAAATGTACTCAGATTATAGTCCAATCAAGCATGATGACACTGAAGTTATTTGTAGCCTTACCTCATTTAAGTTCATATTGAAGGCAGTCTTCAGCTCACAGAAGAATTGAGATCTAAAACTCTTAGAAGATCAAAATAGAAAAAAATCCAAAAATATAGTTATCCTTAATTTCCAACACCGCATGCTACAAGCTGCAAATATCTTAAGCACATGTTTTTTTCACTTTCTTCAAGTGATTGGTTACCTCTTCATAAAAATCCTATATTTTTTCACTTCATTGGATGCCAAATGTTCATACATTTACGTGGCACAATATAGACTACAAAATCTTACTACGTGGAGACCAAATATTTCAACACTTGATGCCAATATAATATTCCTAAATTAATAAGTGATCTTGAAAACCAAAGTCAAACTTTCTTAAGTGAAACATCAGACCATTATTTTTTATATTAGTCAATGCCTAATCGTACACCATAAGAAGTGTGGTCAATCCTAGATAGCGGAGTGTACGGGCTACTCTATAAACGCTATAGGGGTATACTGGATAGTTAAATGACCACTAATTTGAATTTTTTCTAAAAAGTATAATTAAATGTATACATGTGATTATATATTATGCACATATTAAGTCTAAGATGATACACACTTCTTGAAGTCTCACCAGTGGGTTTAAACAAGCTAGAAGAAGAGAGTGATGTATTTGTTTTTTCAGTCTCCTTACTCTGAGGGAACTCAGCTGAGGTACCAGAGGTTAGTGAATACCTAGAATGGGTCGCAAGATGATGGAGGTCGGTCATCGCAGACTTGCAATTACAAGGCTAAAAGGTGTGTCATCAAAGGGTTGCAAAAGAACGCCAAGTCGCCAACATTGCCACCCAAAATCCCTAAAAGCTAAAATTATCCACTACCCCCATATCTACCTCTAACTGTAGGGAAGAGAGAGAAAACAGGGTTCCGATGCTATCTTGCACGCAACGGCTGCGGTTTCCCCACAACTATTGAGGACCTGGTAGCGGCCAGGTACATTTATGCTCCGACCACCACTATCGCGTGATTGACAACACTGTTCGTGCATCCATATAAATCAAACATTTAAACATAATATGCCAATAGCATATTCCAAAACTACAATTAATCTTAACACCCAAATTGCAAGCTTAACCTAACAAATGAGAAGATATTCAGAATACCTTTGAAGCTATCTCCTTTGTCCCTGCCTGAACCACGCTAGCAGCCGACTGGGCAGCTGAGGCAGCTACCACTGATAATCTACCAAATCCCTTGAGCCCAAACAACATTAAAATCAACAATCAATGAAAAAACATGGAATTGCCAATAAATAAATAAAATGACATTCCCGATGCATATTACCAGAGAAACGGCAGAAAGCACATCCGCTTGAGGATTATTGTTATTCCTAGGCAATCCAGGGCTGGATCCGAATCCAACGTACTTTCCTCCTTGAGATGGAGGGATTCCCTCGGGACGGGACTCATTCTCTGCTATTTTCCTTGCAAAAAAATTGCCTTTGTTCGCAGCTGAGGCCTCCAGTTGTGCCCGGGTGATATCCTCAGTTGACCTCGACCTGGCAGGACCACCTCCATTCCCCGCACCACTCCTGAAATCTCCCACCGTTTGATTCCTACGCATATTACTGCTCTGAGTATTCCCGCTGCTAAACCCTCCATCGTCGTCCCAACTGTCCCAACCTGAATTGCCAGCAACATTTCCATTTCTACCCCCACCACCCAAGGGCGGCTTACAACTGCTATTGCCAACCTTGTCCTTGAGAGTTTCCTTCACCACAGGCGGGTCCCTCCAGGGCTTTCCGTCAACAAGGGACTGGATCCTGTTCCGGTAAACCGATGCGGCCTTCGTGTTGTACTTGGTGACAATATCAGTCTCTTTTGAGATTCCGTATCCAGACATGAAGGAATTGAAGTTCTCGTTTCCCCCTAGCTCCATTTTTCGGAGCTGGATCTCGGACCAGGAGTCCATGGTGACGGATCGAACGAAAGAAATGTGAACGCCGAGGCCACGGTGTTTACCGGAGCACTCTAGGCACATGAAGACTCCGTAGGAGACGGAGGCCCACTGCGGATTCTTCTGGGAGCAATCGACGCAGATCTTGTTCCCCGGCTGCGATTGCAATTCTCGGAGACGCCGCGATGCAGCCATTTTTCTTCAACCAAAAATCTCGGATCCGATCCGGTACAATAAAAAAACTGGGATTCGGGAATGAAGAAAGAAACTTGTAGTCTGGAATGGTCACAAACGATTGAGCTGTTCGGGGTGAAGAGAAGAGGGCCGATACTATCAAATTCACCGCTGGTGAACAAAAAGAACCAAAGAAACAAATCAAGCGGAATCGCACGTTATGCTTGTTACAGTTATACTGCCCCAAGTTTCTTTGCAACTTCCTTTAATGGCTTTTCAGGGCTTGTTTCACTCCCCATCCGATCAAACATAAACATCTCATGGTCCCACAGTATTTGTTTGTGAAGTCCCAAAATATAGGACTGATCTCGAGTGTGCTCCTCTTCAACTTTGCTATCTAGTTGGTTTGTTGTTGTATTCTATAATTATAGAAGTCTTTTCTAATCTGGTCTGAACTGATTTGGTCTGGTCAATTTAAATCTGGTCTAGTCTAGGATTAAAAACAGACCAAGTAAAAACATGCTAAATAAAATCAAAGTTTATTGATTCTCCTTCAAGATCTCTATTTATTTAGCTTTCTATGGAATTTTTGCCACATAGTATTTCAAAGGAAGTATTTTAATCATTCTACATTAAAAAACATGGTTACTTGAATGTGTTTATTGAAACTTGAGAATAATCTTAAATAGTCTAGAATTTAATATTTGATACCAGATTTTGTATCTAAATTATATTTCAAAATAATCTCGTCCCTTCAACCCTAAGAGCAACCTCATTGTTTAGATTATTTAGAAATTAATTTGATATTGCGGTTCACTTTTTTGAGATTATGTTTGAGATAATGAAATTATTTGCAAAGATTATTTATAAAAAAATCAAGTATCAAATATTGAAACCAGATTATTTCCCTAACAAATATGGAAAATTGAGTGAGCCGGTTGATACTTTTTCTTATACTCAGTATAATCCAAGATTCAAAAAGTAGCACACATCCTCATTTTAAAGGGAACATATTGCCTTTTAATTTGAAAAGATTGCAATCATAATTGAATTTAATAATGTATTAATTAGACTAAATAGGTTTTCCTTATTTATTTAGATTCCTTTTGTATTCAGGACACTTATTCTATTATATATATATATGACATCTTAGGCTATCACATTGGTAAGTCGGCCATTATTCTCACATGCTATCACGAGTCTTATGTTTTAGCCACTATAAATTTTTTTTTCGTGCCTCATTGTCTTCTCCAAATACAGCCGCCACCGCCGAGTCGAGTCCCGCCACCACTATTGCAACGGAGGTGATTGACTCGCCAGTCTTGACTTGCCGCTCCCCCTGCGTATTCCGCCCAGGCTTCACCATGGGTCCCGCCCATATTTACTTGGATGCCAACACCTTCTACCTTGCAGCCAGCCGAATCCAGTGCTACTACAGCAGCTAGTGAACAATTTGTCGGACCCACTCTATCCAGGTATCCCGATCTGGTGATGCCATCTCCTGCTAGAATGGTTGAAAGACGTTCGCCGGCAACTATTCATGTTTATTTCTCCGCTTTGGCACAAGGTTTGTCCTCTTGTGCGTCAATTACTCAAATTGTGACTACCAAATTATTGGCGGTTGAGGATTATTTACCCTGGCGCACACAATTTGAATCATTTTTTGTGTCCAATGGTCTCTTGGGAATTCTAGGTGGCTCTCTTCCGGTCCCACCGCTACATACATATGATCTTTATCGAGCTCCGACGATTAATCCGGAGTATTATCATTGGTTAAAATTGGTTGTTTGCAACCCTCTCTCGCGATATTTTAATTGAGGTTCATGAATTGAAAAATTCTACATCCATATGGCAACGTCTAGAGTCTCGTTTCATGGCTGCCAGTCTGACTCGTTCCGTGGAGTTGAAACAAATGTTGACTCATGTGAAGAAGAAAGAGACTCAATCCAGGGAACAATACTTGCTCGAAATCTGAAGCATTGCTTCCTCCTTCGCTTCCATTAATTCTCCGGTGTCTAATTATGATCTCATGCTTACTATTCGGCCTAGAAAGATCCTTTACTCCTTCACCCCTCGCTTACTATTCGGCCTGAAGTAGTGGGGGACCGGGGGACTACACCGGCCTTTGGAAATAAGGAAGACAAAATCAAAGAAATCCAAAAAAATCATAAGTCTACAAATACAACATCACATATGCATCACAACGTCCATAACCTCGTGGTGCATCATCGGCCACAGTTAGGACAACAAAGGGAAGAATCCTCTCCAAAGATACAACGCTACAGGACACTCAACGGCTTTGAGACCACATGTCCCACTTACGACCAGGGATCAAAATAGGAACTCAACGTTCCCATATCACCATCGCCTAGGGGACACGCACTACGCCTACCGTATTAGTGCCGCTATCGTCCTCGATAACATGGACACCAAGTTACAGATGCCACCACTCCGGACAAAAGCGCAGAATGCAACCAACGACGGCCAAAAGGAAACGAACAATACCCTCACCGGCTACCCGGAAACAGAAAGACGTTCATCGTCCTCAAAACATGAGATACCCACAATGACCTCCTCGACCTTGTCCATGGAATACAATTATCAATGGTCAGGAAACGAAAAGACACCGCCTTCATCGATCGTTCCTATCAGAGAGCGCTCATCGTCCTCAAGAAGAAAACAACATCATCCACGGCTGGGACCCTCCTCGTCCGCAGCAAAGGTCACCCAATGGCCGGAACGCAGAACGCCCGTGACAATGAAAATCAAGGACCACTGTAAAGGCGCCCATAACGGCCAAGGTTCCACAACGCCCCCAAAATGGACGAAAGTCGAACCACGGAAACTTACTCTCCCTCACCTCGTCTACATCTCAGCTCAGAGAGTGGGGGACTCCTGATGGAGTATATGGGTCTGGACCCCAGGACCCACATACTCAAGAGGACAGAAGACACAACTGCCACCTAGTGGGACCCTCGTCGGCCAGATGACCCTCATCGGCTGGAACGAAGTCGAACCCAGAATATGATCCGGAAGCCAGAAGAACCGGGTGATCTCATCGGCCGGGTCTTCGTCGACCATGTCCTCGTCGGTCGTGACCCTCGTCGGCCATGAAGGACTCCCAGAACAGGATTCTGTACCTAATCATTTGTATACTCTATCATTTACTTTGTATTCGGCCCAATAGCGATCCAGTTGTAAACGGGCCTCCCAAGCCCAAGACTTGGGAGCTCAGCCCTAATTTTTCCTATAAATACTCCCTTTGGAAGTAGTTGTGGGGATTCTGAAAATTCATTAATACAGAGCAATGATACTACTTCTCTCTCTAGCTCTCACTTCTCTCTAGATTTACTCTATCAATGATTATTGAAGATGAAGGAGATAATGCGATAAATTGGTGTGACGATCTATACGGTGCACTTGATGATGAACATGATGCAGATCAACTAATGATAAACCATGGTGCCCCCCCCCCCCCCCCCCCCCCCCCGCACTCCAATAATACATTTGTCTCAATTCCGAAATCCGAGATTCTCAATTACATCACCAACTTCGACATGATTTGGTTGAACACATTTGGGCACATTACGGCCACAACAATTAAAGCATTATTTTATTAGCCTTATTTTATGTTTTCTTATGTATGCATTGTTGTTTAAATATCATTTTTAAAATGATTAAATTTGAAACATTTATTACGTTAATTATAATATCATACAATACAAATATTTTGTTATATAAATATAAACACATACATTTAATATATATATATATATATAATAAATACATATTAAAAGTACATATATATTAAGATATGTGATTAATAAAACAAAATGGTTATGATTTTCGGTAACAATTTTTGTTGGATAATTTTTTTAGAGTACAACTTAGGACTTGAACAAAAGAAAAACAATTAAACTGGAAAAGAAATGGAATAACGTTTGTAATCAAGAAAATTAGAAAAATAAATAGTAATACACGTTGGTGAATTAATATATATACATACGGACATGTGTTTTTGTAGGAGACAAACTCTTTTAATGCTTTTTTTTGTACTACAGGGGGTTGGGGGAGGGGGCCGGGGGCTCTGGAGTAATCAAGACTGAAACTCACTCCATTGAGTTTCAAATCCTTATGTGCCTAGCGGGTTTCGAACTCGAGACCTCCCACTAGGCACGGTAAACTCACAACCAGCTGAGTTGGAATGCTTGGTTACTCTTTTAATGCTTTCTATACAAAAAATCACAATAATCTAAGATCATGATTTAGAGAAAGTTAAGAATATTTGATATCATTTATGATTTTATATGTGGCAATGATGTGGCACAAAAAAAAGTGATTATTTGAGTATCGAGTTTTCTAAATAGGACATTTTAAAACTCTTTGAGACTATAAGCATTTAAGTTTTGACTTTCAATACTAGGTCGGTCTGACGGAAATCCAGTTAGCCAACTCTATTTTAGGCCAAAAATAAGTTTATGCTTCAATTTTTTGGGTTCATTATTGTTAACACTCATTCAACCGTTATAATTAATTCATCATAAAAATAAGAATTAAGCTCAGACAGTTTTAAATTTTTTATGATTTTGTGGTTGAAATCAATAGTTAAAACTCATACAAGAACATTACCGCAGTGCCGCAAAGGCTCCCACTTACGGTACAGTAAGGGGGTCGGATGTATGCAGTCTTACTTGTGTACTCAAGTGGAGAGATTGTTTTCGGATGACTCATGATAAAAATCGACATGAAAATTGCATTGTTGGCTACTGGTTCATATCATAGCAGTGCAAACAATTTAGTAAGTCATTTTGCTTTATTTGATCATATTCTCAAAGAAAATGTAGTGAATCTTTGACTTCATCAGAAATTATGGAAGACTAATAGTCAAAACTAATGAATGAAAGAAATTGGATTGTGAATTCGATTAGTCATGCCATCGGAGGCCACATATAAAAGCAAATCCCAGATCAAAATCGCACTCTAGATCGTGAGATTTCTATGTCTGCTTGGAAGTGACAACCCCTGGAACTGCTACTGAAGGCCCCAAATATCCGAAAATATTCTAAGTGTTTGGCTAACTTACAACTCAAAGGAATGGAGGAGAATGTATTATATTCCACTTGATAAAACATTACAATTGGTGGCCTTATATAGGCATTACAAGAGGAGTAAAATAACCCCTAGGAAATACAATTTACCTTTCCAAGAAGACCTTTCATCTCTCCAATAAAAGTAGGGAAAGATAATTTATGTTCCCTAGGAAGTAAACTAATTAAGATTAATTAATTAATCCCAACAAATTCCTCCCCTAATCTTAATTCTCTTCGGTCTCTCATTCCGAG